CTCAATTTTTTGTTACGGGGTCTCCGCGAGGTGCGCGGACCCCCCCATTCTTTTTTTTCCCGCTTTAAACTTTGTGAAAAATGAGTTGTCCGGGATCTTGGACTACTCCCCTACTGGACGTCTGACGGAGACGTCTCCGATCGGACGACTGGTAACCTAGAATTATACAAAGAACTTGCCAGAAGATAGGGTCGCCAACCTACGGGCCCACACACGATTCAACCCCGATTCCGAAAACCGAACACACAGCCTTCGAAAATGAAAAGCTGGAGGCAGAGCGAACCGCAACGAAGCTTCGTATCCTGTCCGACAAACCGTCGCTGCATCGCGTCGAAGCTACACTGTCCCACTCACAACGTCTCGGACCCCAAAAGCCAAAAGAAGAAAAGCTCCATGTCTGTAAACCAGAGGATTTGCGCCCGGCTGATGAGGTCACACATCTGACGAGGTAGGTCACACATCTGATGAGGTCACACATCTGACGGGGTCACACATCTAACGAGGTAAACAAGCTCCATATCTAAAGATCAGGGGGGCAACCATGCCCCTCCCAATCAGGTTACGTAAATGGTATGTTGCGGCAGCTGGATCCCACCTTCCGGTCTTCCGCACTTAACAACTTCGCCCTCCTAGACCAGACAGGACTACCAAGATCGTGCCCGTCAGGGATCTGCGAAACCTCGCCCTTCCTCGCGGCCGCGCGCCCCTACTCCCAGCAAGTTTCCCGGCATGCCAACAGGCAGGGTCTGACTGTTGCAAGCCTGCGCCACCTCGCGTCACGCTGCGTAGCTATCGCCCGCTGCCCGCCGCCGCCTGTGCTTTCGTTCTCGGATGTCCTGTGGAGTAGGCACTCTCGCTGATATCCGGGACGTCGGTCTTGCGGATTGGAAACAGCTTCAAACTTTGCAACCTTGTTTGGCTGGTTTGTGGCACCAGCAATTGCATCTTATGATGCTTCGACAAGCTGTTCTGCAATAGTGGGTGGATGTTTTGAGAGGTGGTATTGCGTTTACTGTTGGATCTTCGTATAGATTGGCGGTGGATCCATGCCTCCTCATCTTTGGAAAGCGGAGTCGGTTGCGCATTCTTCTTCTCCGACTGCTCCTTCTCGGGAAATCTCGCATGTGGCTGGCGGTTTGGGTGAGGCCTTGCGGCCCATGTCCATTCCTTTGCCTTCGCCGCCGCTTTTGAGGACCTTTTGCCGGTCTGTATTTCGGAGTACGCAAAACAACTCTGGCGATTTGCTCCGTCGGTTCCTTCTTATCATGGCTACCATATGGACATCCGGACAGGCGTCCAGATGGTCTGCTGTCTGGTGTCTGGACGCCGGGCCGTAGGAGGCCCGTCCGGAAGGGGCCAAAACCCCGAAATTCAATCAAAAAAGGGGGCACACTAAACCTGTTCCTTAGGTCCAGGGTGCCCCCTGAAAAATGTTTTGATGATTTTTGGGGCCTGTACCAGTGTTACATGCCCAGTTGGGCGATGTACATATAAACCGAGGATCCGCAATGTGATAAAAAGGACTGAATGGACGATGCAGTGCAAGTGGAATCTCAACAAGCAATGTGCATTCTGATACATACAAAATGGTGCTTTATAGCGCAGGGAAGACTTAGATACAAGTCCTGACCTGACCGGGACTGACCTCTACCACGTAGTGCAAGACAGCGCCGCAGAATGCTGGAATACCAATGACTAGCCCAATCAATGTTGCATCGCAGACCAAACATACATCATGCTCATCACAAGGTGTGAAGGGACCTGGCGCTATACACAGGAAGGAGGCGCCAGGTCCAGACATACACAGACGAAGAGGAGGGGATCAGACGAAGAAGAGGAAGGGGGAGATGGGAAAGTCGTCAACACCAAGTCTCGTTACAAATCCCAAATAATCCCTCTTCAAAATGTCTGAAGTCCAATGTCGAGTCTGGATCCAAATGTCACCAAGCTCTCTCTCTCTCCCTCGTAGTCTGCTGATGCAGTGAAGTCAGATAGCAAGAGGGTGAGAAGGAGATGGTGGACTGAGAAGAGGAAGAAGAACTCTCTCTCTCTCATATGCCAGGTACTAACCTGTGAAGATGGCGCTGTGCTGCAGGTACCTCAAAGACGAAGCTGGAGCAATGGCGCTGCAGGTAAGTCCCTCTGGCCTCCGCCCAATCTCTCTCTCTGTAGTACTACTCTAACTGCTATGGCGCCCAACGCTGAAGACTACAGCTAACCCTACTAGCGCCCAGCGCTGAAGACTACCGCCAACGCTACTACTACTGCAGCGCTCCTCCAGAGTGCTGCTGCCGAATCCTGAAGACTACCTCCTGCCTCCTGCACTGCACGTGACGTGCCTGGGAAGTACCTAGGAACTACCTGCCTGCCTGCAGGGCGGCCCAGTCCTATATAGTGCTGGCCCATCCAGGAGGCTGCTCTTGCCAATGCCGAAACGTGCCAGACCCTGGCGTTGAAGCTCAACCAGGGGTTGTCTTGAAAACAGGCCCGAAATGGCCTGTGCTAAAACCCTGGTTTGTTGCCTGAGTTTCAGGGCAGGTCGAACCGATGAGGGCTCGAAAATGGCCCTCAGTTTCAGGCTGAAAACACTCAGGGCCGGAAAGGCCCTGATTTAGCCTGAAACGACACAGGGCCTGTAGGCCCTTGTTTTCAGGCTTTCAGGCTGAAACGACACAGGGCCTGTTACAGTAGGCCCTTGTTTTCAGGCTTTTGGCCTGAAAACGTCACGGGCCTGGAAATGGCCCGTGCAGCCTGTTGCAGGCGCAGCACGTAACAATCAGCCATACAAGGCGGCCGGACCGGCCCCTTTTCTACTTGCATCCTGGGCAGACCGTTGGAGGCAGAGCGCGGTTCCCCAGTGACAAATGGAAGCAAGGGTGGATCTACGCAGTTCCGAGTGCTTTCCCACCCACCCGCCGCCTCCGCCACACACACACACACAGAGGGAGAGGGAGAGAGAGCACTCGTTATGTCGACTGGTGCGCACATACATAAGAGAGAGAGAGAGAGAGAGAGAGAGAGAGAGAGAGAGAGAGAGAGAGAGAGAGAGAGAGAGAGAGAGAGAGAGAGAGAGAGAGAGAGANAGAGAGAGAGAGAGAGAGAGAGAGAGAGAGAGAGAGAGAGAGAGAGAGAGAGAGAGAGAGAGAGAGAGAGAGAGAGAGAGAGAGGGAGAGAGTGTTTGAACTCGGACTTCGCACTTTGAACTTTAGATTCTGAACTGCTAAAGTCTTGAGCTTTATTTAATATTTACCTTTATTCAAGTTGACTTCGAGTGCTTTTTTGTTTTTGTTTTGTTTCTTCACTTTTTCTTCCCTTGCAGCAGTTTGTGCTGTGCAGTGACTGTGCCAGCACAGTGCATGTCAAGGAATGATCATGCATGTTTGTCATATTTGCCAACAGCTATGTCCTCCTGGAACACTTCCCCTTAAGTCACGGTTATACGATGAAACTGCATTCAACATGCATAAGAGACCTGCCAGTGTTTGTGTTTCTTTTTTGTCAATCTGGACCGATCCGGACATCATCATCCGGACGGACCATGTCCGGATGGTCCGGACTGGTCGGGAGATCCGGACGTCCGGATCATATCCGCACCGACTGGTCGTCTGGGTCCGCATCGGTCCGGTGTCCGGGTCTGCGGTAGCCATGCTTCCTATCAAATGCCTGTTGACCCTCGGGACTGGGAATGGGTTCACCCGCTCCGACATCAGGAGCGGGTGCCGCTTTTTCAATTCTCAGAGAGACTGGGGTACCTGCTCTCTTGCCCGTCTTGTGACGTCGCTTGGCTTGTGGCAAAGCGTTGGCTGGCGTCCGGATGGCTTGACGATTCTGTGCTTCGACTTGCTCATGCCCTTCCGGCCTATTGGAAACTATTGATGAACCTGCCAGAAGTGAAACACGCGGGCTTGTTGTGGCTGATTGCACAACAGGCCTTGCCAGTTGCAGCTTGGTGTGCAAGGAGAATTCCAAGAGCTTCTCCTCTGCGTGTCATTTGCGGGGGGACCAGAATCAAGCATCTGCAGCACGTTTGTCAGCACTGTGATCTTTCAAGGGAATTTTGAAGATTGTGGTGCCCATATTTTTTTGAAAAAAAACAAAACAAAACAAAACAAAACGAAAAAACAAAAGAAGAAGAAGATCAGCATGGCCCTTGTGTGAGGAAAAACAAACCAAAAAATAGAAATGGTCCATTTTTTAATTATTTTTTTTAAATGAAAACTACTAGGCTACCAGCCAGGCTGCCCGGGTCACCCTATTTCCCCGGACAGTCGGGCCGTGCAAGGACCAGGGAAGGTCCTAGCAAAAAAATAAACTGAACAACATTTGCCTCAGGGTCACATCGAAATTCTTTACCAAATTTAAAATAAAAAATAAAGTTAAAAAAATAAAAATATATATATATATCGTATATATATCGTCACAAACAGAACTGCCCGGTAAAACCGTAGGCAGAGAGAGAGAAGAGGACAACAAACGAGGGGCTGCGACAAACTGTTTCGTCGGAGTTTCACCGACTCATATATATATATATTTATATATATCGTCATATATATCGTCATATATATCGTCATATATATCGTCATATATATGTATATATATTTTAATGTTTTTTTTTGGCCCTGCCGGGCAAGTGGGCCCGGGCCACTCTGGTAGCCGAGGAAAACTAAAAAAAAAAAAAATCACAGGAGAGCGGTGGACAGACACGCAGGGCGTAGCTCAGTTGGTAAGGCACGCAAGTGTCATTTAGGAGGTCATGGGTTCAATCCCTCATTTGCCTCCCTGAGCATACGTAGTATCCGCTATCGAGAGGTAGCCTGTTGGCCCCCCCAATCGGCATTAAGCAGAGACTTCTCATATTTGTAGGGGGAGGGGACCAGATGGAGTCGCAGAGATTAGTCCTGATGGCCTATCCCTGACGCTACCACCTGACGCCTGGCCGGTATCACCCACCTGCTGTAGCATGTATCCCACTTGCTGTTGGGTGCAGCTCCGGATGTTCCCTCGTTGGAGGCACGAACACGGAGGTGGCTGCTAATTGGTTCCCAAGAAATGCCATCCTCTGGCCTTCGTATGGGTACAGAGTCTACAGACCGCACAATCACATGAATTACCCAGAAGAAAGTGCAGACGAGAAATTCGAACAAAAGAGCACCTCAGCACACTCAACCAATGGAATATCGCCCCAACCAACGATCGACCTCAAATTCTCAATATGAAAGGACGATCCAACTGACCAACTTTAGAAAGCAATACAATCTCTCCAAACCAAATGATCCGCTCGCAAATGCACACTGATGTACCCGCTGCCAATTTGCTATGTGCTCATACTAGCCTCATAGCCATCAAAGAGCCACAAACAAATCGCACAAATGTCATAAATGGGCTATTAGTATATATATCGTCACAAACAGAACTGCCCGGTAAACCGTAGGCAGAGAGACAGAAGAGGACAATAAACGAGGGGCTGTGACAAACTGTTTCGTCGGAGTTTCACCGATATATATATATCGTCAAATAGAACTGCCCGGTAAACCGTAGGCAGAGAGGGAGAAGAGGACAACAAACGAGGGGCTGTGACAAACTGTTTCGTCGGAGTTCCACTGACTCATCAGGAGGCCATATATACATTCTAATCACCACGGACGTGAATTCATGAAATTGCCACACGAAAAGACCACACTCGTCGAAACTTGATCGTGGAAAACCACAACGTCCAATAGCCAGAACTCCTCATCCGCTCACTTCTGAAATAAGCATGTGTGAGTGCCTGTGTATGCATCTGCGTCTGCGTCTGCGTCTGCGTGCCTGCCTGTGCGCCTCCAAGCATTCGTGAGTGCGTAGTACTGTGTACTGCATTCCCGCATGCATGCGTATGTCCCTGCACATACCTTCGTGCCTCCCTGCATATGTGCTTGTGGGGAGAGAGAGAGAGAGAGAGAGAGAGAGAGAGAGAGAGAGAGAGAGAGAGAGAGAGAGAGAGAGAGAGAGAGAGAGAGAGAGAGAGAGA